GTCCAAGAAGAGTTGTTGATTTTCAATTTGTTTAGCTTTTCCTTTATGTATGATATGAATGAGGATTTCCAAGCTCTTTACATGTCTGACATGGAACTCGTAGTTGCGCCTCAGAGAAGAACTCTTTATTATTCTCCCAACATAATTAAATGAGTTTAGTTGGCTCAGAGAATACTTTGGATGTCTGTAGAGAAGAAAGAACATCATCACCCTTGTAGGGGAAGAGGCTGGGCAGGGTTAAGTGTTCAGTAGACTAAGGTTTCTACCTGAAGCTCACAGCCCATCTGAGTGTGATGGAGAATGCCAGGATAATATCCCAAACACCATGATTCTTTGTTCCTTGAATGGATTATTTAGAGTTCATGATCCCTGCAGAAGAGGGTCCTTCAAACTTGATCACTAGTCATAGTCCTATGTCAGATGTCACTTGTCCAAGTCTTCCTTGGTGTTGGGTCAGTCAGGAGAACCGTACTGAGTCCGTGAAAGCCTGAGCTCTGTCCCTGTGATATAGGGTCTTATCTGTGGGAGAATACATGTGACTTAGTTTCAGGTTCTATGCCTTCCTTGAGTAGAACAGAGGACCACTGACTGAGAACATCAAGTGTGGTTCTCATACACAGTCCTTCTTTGAGTTTTTTAAAGAAGGAAAATGAAAGTATTTTCTCATCTTTAAAATGAATAAAAGGAAAAAAATCTATAAGTGAAGAGTGCTATGGATAAAGAATGTTCAAAGTTTAGAATTTTAGAGAAAAGAGTGAGAGAATTGAGTGTTGTTTTTAGGTGCCATCCAGTCAACTCCAACTCATAGCAACGCTATATACAACAGAACAAAACACTGCCTGGTCCTGTGCCATCCTCACAATCCCTGCTTTGCTTAAGCCCATCATTGCAGGCACTGTCAAGCCACCTTGTTGAGGGTCTTCCCCTTTTTCACTGACCCTCCACTTTACCAAACATAATATCCTTCTCTAGGGACTGGTCCCTTCTCAGAACATGACCAAAGAAGGTGAGACAAAGTTTGGCCATTCTCACTTCCAAGGAGCATTCTGGCTGCACTTCTTCCGGATAGATTTGTTCATTCTTCTGGCAGTCCATGGTACTTCCAGTATTCTTTGCCAACACCACAATTCAAAGGCATCAACTCTTTTTCAGTCCTCCTTACTCATTGTCCAGCTTTCACGTGCATATAAGGTTACTGAAAATACCAAGGCTTGGGTTAGGTGCATCTTATCAAAGTGACATCTTTGCTCCTTTAGTACTTCAAAGAGGTCTTCTGCAGCAAATTTGCCCAGTGCAATATGATATCTGATTTCTTGACTGCTGCTTCCATGGATGTTGATTGTGGATTCCAATAAAATGAAATCCCTGACAACTTTAATCTTTTCTGCATTTATCATGATTTGCTTATTGGTCCATTTGTGAGGATTTTTGTTTTCTTTATGTTAAGGTGTAATCCATACTGAAAAGACTGTAGTCTTTGATCTTCGTCAGTAAGTACTTAAACTCATCTTCACTTTGAGCAAGCAAGGTTGTATGTTCTGCAAATCACTGGTTGATGATGAGTCTTCTTCCAATCCTGATGCTGTGTTTTTCTTCATATAGTCCAGCTTCTCAAAATATTTGCTCAACACACAGATTGAATAAGCGTGGTGAAAGGATACAACTCTGACACACACCCTTTCTGATTTTAAACCATGCAGTATCCCCTTGTTCTCTGTTCAAATGACAGCCTCTTGGTCTAAGTACAGATTCCTCCTGAGCACAATTAAGCGTTCCAGAACTCCCATGCTTCACAATGTTATCCATAATTTGTTATGATCCACACAGTCAAATGACTTTACATAGTCAATAAAACACTGGTAAATGTCTTTCTGATATGTTTTGCTTTCAGCGAAGATCCATGTGACATTAGCAATGATATGCCTTGTTTCATATCTTCTTCTTCTTCTGAATCCAGCTTGAATTTCTGGAAGCTCCTTGTAGATATACTGCTGCAAACCTGCAACAGAGTTCTATTATTCATGGATAATGAATGTTTGCAGTTTTCTAGAGAGAGGAGTGAGAGGACTGAGTGCCAGACTCTAGCTCTCTTCTTCTCTTTCCCATTACTTCAGCGCAGAGTCAAGAGGAGGAGAAAAGATGGACTACTAAAAGGGAAAGTTCTACTGTTTCTACCTGAGCTCTTACAGGTTGATCCTTTCTCTCCCTTCCATGAGTTCCCAGCTCCAGGATCTTTGAGGATGTCAGTTGCTATATACAGTCTCTCTCAGAAAACAGAGCCCTCAGAAGAGAGGCTCATGGGAAGGCAGTTAGAACCTGAGATACTTTTCAGATTTCCTGCTGTGACCCTCCACGGGCATGAATGGGTGATAGGCCCAAGCAACTGATATCTCCCAAGAGATGGGTGTGTGAGATCTCAAGGAAGAGCAACTGGTTGATTTAGAGTCATATTTCTCTTTCTTGCGCAAGTATTTTAACTTTCTAATGCTCAGATTCCCTTGAGACCACCACTTCTCTCTGTTTCTCACAGCAGTATGGAGCATTACATGGGAGAAAATGTGTAGAATGATAATATGTTAATGATAAACCAACATACCTAAATAAGCCTTGTTGTTATTGTCATTTACCATTTGACTTTGTATCCTATTTCTTGGGCCTCTCAAATCTAATCTGCCAAGAATACTACTAAAAGAAAAACCCAAACTCACTGCTGTAGAGTCAGATCCAACTCATAGTAACCCCTCCTTGGGTTTCTGAGCCTGTATCACTATGGAAGTAGATTGCCTAGTCTTCCTTCCAAGGAGTGACTGGTGGATTTGAACCACCAGCCTTGTGGTTAGCAGTCAAATGCCTTAGGCACTACACCACCAGAGCTCCTAAGAATACTACCAATGGAACGTTACTAAGTCTCCTTTAAGATCTTTTCCTGCTACCTTTGCCACTCTGCTATAACCCATTCTCCTCATTTCCTAGGTTGGAGAACTTGTCAGGGAGAATTAGAAGAGGCAAGAAAGCTGCTTTCTATTTTGAAAAGGTGACTAAATTCTACTATATTTCCTATATCTCACTTTATACCAGAATCTATGCAATTCAAAGGTCATAATGGGGCCTGGGGTTGACATCAGAGGGAAATCATAGAGAAGAAAATGTAAGATACTTGTGGGAAAGAATGAAAGGCGTATTCATAAGTCTAGAAAAGTGGTAGAATGTGAAAGGACCATATCCTTTGGATGCCTCTAACATTGCAAAGACCCACCAGGCTCCCACGTTTGTTCTGGTCCTGGCTGCAACTGTGTTCTCTCTGTCTTTGCAGCCCCCCAGACCAGCATCATTCTACCATCCGCTTTCGTCAAATGCTATGTCCAGATCCGTCCTGTGAAGTATGTAATAGAGCAACTGCTGAGGTTAGTCAGTTGCTGTTTGGGGTGCCCGCAGAAAATGCTGTTCCTTGTGTGTCCCCTGTGGCTTCCACAGCACCTGTGATTGAATCTTCATTCACTCTGGCTCTCTCAGAACAGCCTCCGGAAGACCCAAGACCAGCCTCTCTGCCTGAGCCCTCTGTACCTCCCTCCTCCATTCTCTCACCTGATCTAACAACCCCCTTAGTTGATATTCTTTCACCTTCACCATCAGATGACTCTCTGCCACCAGATCCTGTTTCCCTTTTGGATTCTACTTCCCCAATGGACCGTTTTCCACCTCAACCAATTGCCTTCTCCCCATGCCCACTATATCACACTCAGAATGTGGATCGTATTCTACAACCAGATCCCACTTTGTCTCTGAACATCATCTCCTCCCTGGACTCCACTCTGTCTCAAGATATGAACCACTCACCATATTTGTCACACACAATGAACCTCACTGATTCATCTGCTTGTCATTGCACATCACCAACCCTGTCTGCCTCACCACCACCAGACTGTACTTTAACTGTGACTAAATCTAAACTGATACCAATTTCACAGAAATCTGTCTCTGATAGATCACCTCCAGCCAACCTTGGTGAGTTGATCCCTTATGTGCCAACAATTACAGGCACTGATCATTCAACATTCTCTACTTCAGAATTCTCCCCTTGGCAGGCTAATGCCCGCCCTACACATTTTCTCCCCACATTACCATACTCTGGTGATCAACAAGAGCACGTTTCCCTCCATCTGTCAGAGACCTGTGTCTGGGGAGACTCTACAGCCAAATTTATGAAGGAGAGTGGACTTTCTATCCTTGGCCCTAATGTCCAGCCACCTTTAGGGAGACAAATGAAAAAGAGAATGGCTTTTTCAATTTTGGAAAAGAAACAAAAGGATGCGGGACTATTTCCAAAACAAATGTGGCCAGAATACCCAGTGACATCTTCAAGGAATTCATTGCTGCCATTCACTGATCACCTGGACACCACAGCCCCCAATACTAGCTGGCATGCCAAAGGTAAACCAGAACAGCTACACATTTGTCAGCAGCTTCTATATGCCAAGACCTTTGGGGCAAACATACAGCAGAAATATAGCCAGCTTTTCTGGGGTCTCCCTTCTCTGCACAGTGAATCTCTAGTGGCAACTATCTTGGTGTCTGGCAGCTGTTCTCCACTACATTCTCCCTTTATATTATTCAATGGGATCTGTAAACCTCTCACAGTCCAAATGCAGAATAAAGAACTCCCAACATGTCCCAACATTCATCCTCTTGCCCCCCCAAGTGTACATTCCCAATATGTGTCTCCAACCCAGTCCCAACTGCAGCCTCTGCATCCCACTCAGATTCAGTCCCACACCCACCTTCAACCATCACTCCCAATCCCATCCACTTCTTCTCCACCCCACATTAGGGCTTGTGGAGTGTGTTTCCACAGACCCCGGAATGAGGCCAAGTCTCAAATCTTGTCTGAACGTCAACACCTAGAATGGCACTTATTGAGGAAGCAACAGGAAAGTTTGTGGGGTTTAGCCCCTGTGCTCCAAAGATCTCAAGAAGCCTTTTGTCCTCCAGCTCCCAGTATTATGCCGGTGAGCCAGTCCTCCCAGGCCTGTGTTCCAGTTTCCAGCATTCCTGGACATGCTCCTATCAGCAATGAACCCCAGGAAAAGAAGCTAATCCCACACAGATGCCTCCAGGCCTGTAGGGAACAAGAGTCCCTAGCAGTGATTCTGCCTCAATTCAGATTAACAGAAACATCTCAAGAGAAATGCAGGCATGCTCACTCACAACACTCTGAGTTCAATGGCCAGACCAGAAAGGATCTGGAAGAGACTGAATTGAGTTACTCAGGAATTTCCCTTGAGAGGAGTCCAGCAAATTTTCCTCTAATGAAGGACATGGGAAAAAGTTTTGGACACAGCCTGGGAAAGGGCTCATCAGAAAACCCATCAGTGGTCTCAGAAAACTACATAGCAAAGGGCCAGGGCACTACTTCTGAGGACATAAAAGGTGATTGGGTATATCACTCAAGGAAAGACTCAGGAAATAAATTACAAAGTATCATAAAGGAAAACATAGATGAGGATCAGATGAAAATGATCTTAAAATTACATTTGATCAAGAAATTTTGGCAGATCCATGAGTGCAGGATCCCTTTAGGTGTCTGTCATTCATGGCTTGCTGATGAGAGTACATTGTCTCTTTCTGGAAATTCCCATGACAATGCAGAAAATAGAAAAATGGTACCATCAGAAAGTAGGAAATACTGCCAGATTACCACTCTGAAGGCAACCTTCCTTGATCCTGACACTCAACAGGTACTAGAAGCCCACATTATAAGATTTCGAGTGAGTCAGAAATGGGGACTACCTCTCAAGGTCCGTGAATCCATAAAACTCTATACATTGAGAGAAGCCAAATCATGGCCTCTTGCACTATTTGACTTCCCCTCCTCCGCCACCCTTATTTCTAGGGTGGATTCCAAAGCCAAGGTTTCCAAGCCTATTGGAGAACAACCTCAAACTTTACAGGGAGACAAGGTGTTAACAACAAATTCAGTCCCCTTCCTGAATTGTCTTCTCCCTGACATCTCACCTGAGGGCAAGGAAGGGCAAGAGACCCTGAAACAGTCTCCCCCACATATCGATCATGCACTTACAGATGATTTCCAGACAATTGAGCATGGGAGGCAGAGTTTTCTGCCCCTGAAACACAGTTTCACAGACAAAACAAATCAGAGTGAGAATGTAATACCCAACAGACAGGACTCAGAGTTGCTCACAAGTCAAGCTGGGGCTGGACATGAGCCAAGGAAAAATCAAGTGAGTTCAAGTGATAGAGGAGAAAATCTTCAGGGCAAAAAGATGTTGGAGGAGAATTTAGAACATTTTTCCATAAGCAACGTGTCCAGGGAGATATTCAAGGCTAAAGAGCTTCTTGCTCTTCAATCAAAATCTAGTGACATTTTGACAAGGAGAGAGCTGGGAAACTCCCAAATGACAAATATGAGTACGAGTAAAATAGAAACTACCCTAACCACTGAAGTCCCACCAAAGCCAAGAACATCAGTTCCCCAAGATCCTGAACTATTATCACGTCTTCAAAAACAGCTGATGAGTAAGTCTAACTTTACAATGGAGGGCCAGGAGCACAGTCAGGCTCAGGGCTCTTTCACTGACCTCTCTCTTACCTCAGACAGTTTGATTTCCACTGCCTTCTTAAGGCATGCCCACAGAGTACCCTGTAGGTACATGGCAGCTTGCCAGAGGCTGAATATCCATGAACGGGGCAAAAGTATCACCATGGAGCAGAGGCAGAAGCATTGGGTCTCTAAGCATGTTTTAGGGAAATGCCAAGATCAGAATTTCCCACCACTTCCAAACAGAGGGAGCTCTCAGGGAACCAGAACAAGGAAGTATGAAAGAGAGGGTTTAGGATTAGAGACATCCAAACCCAGAAGCAAGAGCCACCCTGCTCAGGCCAATAAATTAGAGGAGACCCTTGGGGGCACCTCTTCCCAGGCCCTGTCACAGAAAGAAGAGCTTTCTCCAGAGAATTTCTTCAGAAGAAAGATGAGGCAATTTTTTCAGTGGATCCATTCCAAGAGGCAGGTTAGTCTCCTGCAAAAAGTCAAGTTAATGTTGGCCCCTGCACAGCCCCAAGACCCAGTGGACAGGATGAACTGTGGGGCTACTGAAGCTCAGGAGCTCATGACAGCCATTGGGAAGATGTTGGAGGAGAAACTGGGATGCAGGCAAGGACCTCAGCACAAGGCAGAACTGCAAGCTCAGGCAAAGTCTACTGAGGGGCCTTCCTCCAACAACAGTGCTACCACCTCTCCAGAGCAAAGGAAAATGTCCAGTACCAACATAGGCAGCCAAAAAGCTGTCCCTTCTGGCCAGAGCTGTCCTACAAGTGATAGAAAGATTGAAGATAGGGACAGAGTTCCCCAGAAAATTAAGAGATTCAAAGGCCAGCTATTGGCTGAGGGATTTCCACCTTCCTTATCCTCCAGGGATCCTGTGTCCCATCAAGACCCCACAAAGCATGCATCAAATATGCCAGGTAACTCAGGCCACTCTCCTCTCTGAACACACTGTGCTCAGAGGTCTATCTCTACTCTTCAGACAGAAAATGCTTCTCCAGCACTTCCAGGGAAAAAAAGTTCCCCCTCCAGAATAATACATTCCTTATTGAAAATTCTGTTTTCTTTGTAGCACATCTTTGATGAAAACACTCTTGTTTTACCACAACCAATAATATTGATCCTCTCCAATAAATATTTCTTCTAATAGGAGAGTGGTGTTTTCTGTGTGTGTGCTATTTCTGGAGTATGGGCATTGGTCATCCAGGGTTTTTGCTTAGTAAAAGCAAGTCATTGGTTCAGCTCTTATTAATTGCCTCCTTTGGCTTCAAAATTTTTGGTGACTAGTGCCCTGGCAGGAGCCTGACACTGACATCCCACACTTATCCTGAGCTCCTTTATTTGACTCTGCTTAGATTTTCTGCATTTAAAACATTTTATTTGAAAATATTATAATAAAAGTACAAAAAGTTTACTCTAAAAACACTGAGGCCTTTTCAAAAGGAGAAAAACACATAGAGTTCAGTTCAGTTCCCTCACTATTCTGAACTACACCCAGCTATATGGTGGGAGGAGTTACTCTGGAATCATTAAGACAGAAATCCTCCTTGCTACCTCTAGTAAGTTTCTGAATTGGAAGCTTGAGGGTATTTAAGCAAATGCCAGAGGAAGGGAGAAATTTTACTCCTGGATCTCTTGGTGAGGAAAAATGTCATTTGCTTCCAATAGCCTCTTCTCTCCCTCATGAAGTCTGGAGAGACAGCCCATGTTCCCTACCACTTATCTTACCCCAATAAAATTGGGAACAATTCACCCTTTCCCCTTCTTCTCCCCCTCAAATACTCTGGAGCAGTGGAGAGAATAGAACTTTTGACTCTGAAAGGGATCAATGATAGGAACATTTCCTTAAAAATAGGAGCTTACTTACCTTTTAGAAAAAGCTGCTGAGTCTAGAAGATCACACTGGGGGATGTGTGGGGAGCTGAGTTTTGCTGTTGTGGATGCTGAGTTGGCCAGGGCAGGGTCTAGGAATCTGGTAGGTGTGGAATGTTGTTCTGTCAGGAAAACACATTTTGATCTCAATAATAAGGTCTCCCTGCTCTTGGGGGTGTCCTGAAGAAGAGAAAGAGCAATTTCTCAGAAAATCTCTTAAGGACCCCAGCTTGATAGCATTATTCCAAGACCAAGAGATCACCAGGCTATCACTTCCAGGAATGTCACCAAATCACATAGCCAGAATTTGGGAAAACATGAGGAAGAGAGTAAGAAAAGATAATAGTAGAACAAGAAAAGAAGAAAACAATAAGAAAGAGAAAAGAATAACCCTATTATCCCTAATTATGACCCCATTTAGGCTACCCCCATCACTATCTTACCCAGGTCTCACCTCCTTGAGGTTAACAGGGCTTTATTGACCACAATGATATCATTTCAGTATAAAAGCATATGTGATGGACTTTGAGTATGAAGACAGTATCTGTAGGGATGTGTGGTAGTTAAGGCTGTGTGTGTCAACTTAGCTGGGCCATGGTTTTGAGTGGCCAGGCAGCTGGATACAGTTATTCACCATGAGATTGGAATCAACTCCATGGTGGAAGCTGCTGTGAGCAGCTGATTAGCTGCCTTCAAGGTTAGGCCTGCTTCTAGTACATATGGGGAATCTTTGAGGAAGATCCCTAGCTTTTTGGCACATCTGGATCCTACATTTCGCTGAGTCTTCATCTCAGTGATCTGCCATGTTGCCTACTGATTTTGGCATTATTCTTGGACTTGACCTAGTGACCTGCCATGTTTGCTAATCTTGGGACTGTGCCATTTTACTTGTCAATCTTGGGTTTGTTAATCTCAGCAACCAGCAGCTATGTGAGTCAGAAAAAGCCTCTAGCTCTAGTAGGCCTATAACAGGAGGGCTTCAACAAGAGCCCTTCAACCAGCCCCTAGAGCCAGCACATCGAACTCGGACTTCTAGCCTCCCAAACTCTAAGATAATAAATCCCTGTTGGTTAAAGTCATCCACTTATGGTATGTTTGTCATAGTAGCACAAGAGAACCACAACAGGATGTCATCAGACATTACAATCACCCTATTGGGGACAGGTTTTCACTGGCCAATTTTTTCAGAAGTGGATGGCCCCGTCCTTCTCCCCAGTCTGTCTTAATCTGGAAGCTCCACTGAAACCTGTCCATGATGGATGACCCTGTTGATATTTGAAATACCAGTAGCATAACCTCCAGCCTCACAACAGCACACAAGCCACCACAGTACGACAACCTGACAGATGAGTAGTGGAATAAAACATGGAATAGACGAAGTATGAATCTAGGAAAATTGGAATTTGTCAAAAATGAAATGGAACACATAAAGATTGATATCCTAGACATTGATGAGCTGAAATGGACTGGTACTGGCCATTTTAAATCAGACAATCATATGATCTACTATGTCAGGAATGACAAACTGAAGAATTATGGTGTGGCATTTATCATCAAAAAGAACATTTCAAGATCTATCCTTAAGTACAACACTGTCAATGATAGAATAATATTCATATGGCTATAAGGAAAATCACTCTGGTAGCACAGTGCCTAAGGCACTTGACTGCTAACCAGAAGACTGGCAGTTCAAACCCACCAGCCACTCCTCGGAAGGAAGGTTGGGCAATCCTACTTCCGTAGTGATACTGCCTCGGAAACCCAAGGAGGGGTCACTATGTGTCGGGGCCGACTCGACGGCAAATAACAACAACAACATAAGGAAAATCAGCTAATATGACTGTTGTTCAAATTTACACACCAACCACTTAACACCAAACATAAATTGAAGATTTTTACCAACTTCTGCAGTCTGAAATTGACCAAATATAAAATTACGATGTATTGACAATTAGTGATTGGAATGCAAAAGCTGGAAACAAAGAAAAAACATCAGTAGTTGGAAAATATGGTCTTGGTGACATAAATAACACCAGTGATCTTATGATAGAATTCTGCAAGGCCACTGACTTACTCATTGCAAATATCTTTTTTCAACAATATAAACATCAGCTCTACATGTAGACCTCACCAGATGGAATACACAGGAATCAATCAGACTTCATCTATGGAAAGAGGTGATGGAGTAGCTCAATTATCATCAGTCAATACAAGGCCAAGAGTTGACTGTGGAACAGACCATCAATTGCTCATATGCAAGTTCAAGTTGAAGCTGAAGACAATTAAAACAAGTCCATGAGAGCCAAAATATGACCTTGATTATATCTCACCTGAATTTAGAGACCATCTGAAGAACATATTTGATGGACTGAACACCAGTGATCAAAGGAAGACCAGAGGAATTGCGGGGATGACATCAAGAATATTATACATGAAGAAAGCAAAAGGTCATTTAAAAAAAAAAAAAGGAAAGGATGAAAAGACCAAGATGAAATGTCAGAAAAGACTTAAAATTTGCTCTTGAATGTAGAGAAGCTAAGCAAATGGGAAAAATGATAAAAGAAAAGAGCTGAACAGAAGATTTCAAAGGCAGCCCAGAAAGACAAAATAAAGTATTATAATGAAATGTACAAAGACCTGGAATTAGAAAAACAAAGAGGAAGAAACAACTTGCCATTTCTCAAGTTGAAAGAACTGAAGAAAAAATTCAAGCCTCAAATGTAATGTGGAAGGATTCTATGGGCAAAATATTGAATGGTACAGGAAGCATTAAAAAAAGATAGAAGGAAAAAAAAAAAAAAGATAGAAGGAATACAGAATCATATACCAAAAAAAATTCATCAATGTTCAACCATTTCACAGGAAGTAGCATTTGATCAAGAACCAATGGTATTAAAGGAATAAGTCCAAGCTGCACTGAATGAATTGGTGAAAAGTGAAGTTCCAGGAATTGATGAAATACCCATTGAGATATTTCAACAAACAGATGCAGTGCTGGAAGCACTTACTAGTCTATGCCAAGAAATCTGGAAGACAGTTACATGGCCAAATGACTGGAAAAGATTGGTATTTATGCCTATTCCAAAGAAAGGAGATCCAACAGAATGTGGAAATTATCAAATAATATCATAAATATTGCACACAAGTAAAATTTTGCTGAACATAATTCAAAAATGGTTGCAGCAGTATATTGACTGGAAACTTCCAGAAATGCAAGCTGGATTCAGAAGAGGACATGAATGAGGGATATCATTATTGACGTCAGATGGATCTTGGCTGAAAGCAAAGAATACCAGAAAGATGTTTACCTGTGTTTTATTGAATACACAAAGGCTTTTGACTCTGTGGATCATAACAAATTATGGATAACATTGCAAAGAATGGGTATTCCAGAATGCTTAACTGTGCTCAGGAGGAAACTGTACATGGACCAAGAAGCTGTCATTCGAACAGAACAAGGGAACACTACATGGTTTAGAATCAAGGGTGTGCATCAGGATTGTATCCTTTCACTATACTTATTCAATCTGTATGCTGAGCAAATAATCTGAGAAGCTGCACTATATGAAGAATGCAGCATTGGGACTGGAGGAAGACAACATGCAATATGCAGATGACACACCCTTCTTGCTGAAAGTGAAAATGAAGCATTTACTGATGAAGATCAAAAACTACATACAGCCTGCAGTCTGGATTTCACCTCAACAAAAAGAAAACAAAAACCCTTACAACTGGACCAGTAAGCAACATCATGATAAATTTAGAAAAGACTGAGGTGGTCAGAGATTTCATTTTACTTAGATCCACAATCAACACTCATGGAAGCAGCAGTCAAGAAATCAGATGTCATATTGCACTGGGCTAATCTGCTGCAAAAAATCTCTTTGTTGTTGTTGGTAGTTGTTGGTATTTGCCGTCGAGTCGGTCACA